ATCTTCACGAATGGCTTCATCGTGGTGGTGAATGTGGTGGACTTCATGAAGCAGAGACGGATGGCTCCTCTGGATCTGCTCCTTTCCTGCCTGGCGACTACAAGGTTTTGTCTCCAGTTGTTCATCTTCCTTTCAGACAAGAATGTTATCTCTTTCATGAACCCATCTGTATTTGCTGTGCTTGATACAATGTTCATATTCATGAATATTTGGGGCCTTTGGATGGCCACGTGGCTTGGTGTTTTCTACAGCATCAAGGTCGCCACCATTCCCCATCCTCTGTTCTTCTGGCTGAGGATGAAGATTTCCAAGTTGGTGTCCTGGATGATTCTGGGATCTACATTATATGCATCTATCAGTGCTGGCATCCAGATAAAATATGCATACTCTAATACTCAAACATTTTTGGTAGACTTTTCCTCCAAAAATACAACTCAAGCCAAAGGAATAGATATTGTGCACCTTTCTGTTTATATTTTGGATCTTACTGTGCCATTAATTGTGTTCCTCATCGCTGTTCTGCTCTTGATTCTCTCCCTGGGGAGACACGCCCAGCACATGAGAACTGTGGCTACAGGAACACAGGATCCCTGCAAGGGTGCCTACATCAGGGCCCTGCTGTCTATCCTGTCTTTCCTGATCCTCTACTTCTCCCACTACATGATGGCCATTTTGTTCTTGTTTCAAATTGTGAAGTTTGGAGGTTTCCTGTTTGACTTCTGTACCTTGATGGCTGGCATCTACCCATGTATGCACTCTGTCATCTTAATTTTAGGAAACGCTAAACTGAAACAAGCTGCAAAGAACTTTCTTCTCTGTGGCCGCGGTGGTCAGTAAGAAGTATCTGCATGAGTGGAAAGGATCTCGGAGTCAACGGCTTCCCTGTGTCTGTCTCCCATCACTCACTCAGTTAACACCCTGTTCATCAATGTACTGCCCATCACTGTAGCCCACACACCCCAAGACACCTGTGCACGTATTTTAACTTCAGAAAAGGGACATTGATTTGTAAAGCTGACACACATCACTGCATTAAGTCTCAGTGAGTCTACTGGTTGTGATATGGAAACACAATTTGCCAATAAATAGTGCGGGGATCTTGGTGCAAGTGCATGGAAAACCACAATTTTGTTAATGTGGAATTTCTTTGAGCTGAAAGAAAGCACTTGCTAAAACTCGTGATGTCAGAAATACACAGAATCCTGTAGTACCTGTCAGGAGAATGTCTAGGCATCTTTGCTTTATCACAATCAAATGGATTGTCTGTTCTTCCATTATCTACCTACAGATGATATTTGTCCTCTTTATTGGAGTAACAGCTAATGAATCGCCACTTAAACTGGAAAAGGAGCTAGGGACAGAGTCCTTCTCAATCCCTGTGAGTATATGCACTGTGTCCATCTTGCATAGAACCTAGATGACATGGTGACACTTCCTAACAAATGATAAAAAGGCTGGTAGTTGGGGTAGAATAAGGAGGAGGAGGAGAAGAGAGAAGTTGAGATCTGAAGGCTCCTTTTCCATCTCCCCTAACTGTGAACCTTGGTAGACAGTGGCTTGCAAGATTTCTTTCTGTCTGCTCCTCCAGTCATGTGGTTTCTCTGCCCAGTGAGACACCACCAGTGGGTGAGAGAGGTTGGGATGTTTGATCAGAGACATGCATTTCCTGTTGCACTGGCTGCTGATTCTAGCAACTAAGAGGCTCATGCGTGTTTCCATATCAAATTACAAGTCCCTTTGCTTTCAGACAAGAAGATGAAATAAATGATGTTATTAAACTTGGCTGTTGTTTTGTGTTCCTCTGTGATCATGCACGAACTGCGTTAGATGTACATTTGCCAATCACCAGTAGTAAGGATTCAAATTCTGATATATAAATCATAGATACGCAAGTCAGAAGAGATGCTTCAGAAGGTCTCTTGATGTGTGTGTACCTGGCTGTGGGAATCAGAGGTCTCTCCTGGAATTGGAGCTAATTTCTGTCCCCGCCTCTTGTAGCTGTAGCCAGCTCTGGGAAGAGCACCCGTGTCCTGAAGGTGATCACTGCTCCTGTTGGGAAGGAGCCCTGAGAACGCACCGTGTCCTTCTCACCTCCGCAGCTCAGCCAACACTTGCTCTGTGAACCCGGGATGTGTGTCCTGCAGGTGGGCAGAGACAGAAAGCAACTGTGACCATTCAGGAAGAAATCTGTAGTCACAAAACTCTCCTGGAACTTTCTTTCTCAGATACTAAATTGTGATTCCAGTTTGTGGATGTTTGCTCAAAGAGCGTTGGATAACAACGTAAGAATGAAGCTAGGCCTACCCCTGTAACAGGTAGCATTAGCATAATTTGTAACAAAATAAAATCACAAAGTACAATAAAGCATTCTAAAGACATTTTCGCTGCCTGTTTCCCTAGAAATAAATTTCTTGCACAAATGTGACCTCTCATTGTGCTGCTGGGTGTTGTGTGCAGTGCTCTTTGCTCTGTCTTGAAATCAGAAGCATCTCAGCCTTGTCTCTCTGGAGCCCTCTTTATCTGGAATCAGCAGCCCTGCCCAGTTGTTTTTTTCCTCATCTCATCAAGCAGTAGTTGGACTTCTGTCTATTCCTGGCACAGCCCATATCTTCTACTTTTAGAAATGGGGCCTGTTATTTAAGCGTGGTAGCCCATGCCGCTAATGCTAGCACTCTGGGAGGCTGAGGCAGGAAGACTGCAAGTATAAGCTTAGCCTGGGCACACACAGCAACGGAGGAAAACATCCATCACACTCATCGTTTGGAGCCTGCAGATGTAGCTCAGTGTAAAGACTGCAAGTTATATCTCCAACACCAAAGGAATCAAAAAGGAAAGGAAAGACAGAATTAAAATGGACTGAGACGGGGGTGGGGGAGAGGGCAAAGACAGAGAAAAAAAGAGAAAGCAAGATAGAAGAAAGGAAGGAAAAATGAGAAAGAAATAAAAAGGAAAAGGAAATAAAAGATAGTATAAAATAAGGAAGAAAGAGGAGAAAGGGGGGAACAGGAGGAAGAACATAACAGGGTGTGAGCAGGGTTCATGGCGATGGCTGCGGTCTGCACGTGGCTTGAGTGACCCTCCAGGTGTCTGTGCTGAAGTTCCTCCTCGCTATGGGAAAGGAGAAGGAAGGAACTTAAATCACTCTGTCCTTTAAGGCGGAAACTCTGGGGGAGTTTGCAGTGGGGTGAGCCATCAGGTGGGCCCATGAGGAACCCTGCTGACTTCAGAAGCAGAGTGCCAGGCATGGAGCAGGCATAAGGATGCTCTGCCCTCTCTCCCCTGTTACCTGGAAGTAGATGCAGCACGGCCCTGGCACCAAAACCACAAGCAAGAACAACCTGTGCTCCTGGGAACTCCACAGCCTGCAGGAAGGAGACAGGAGGAGCCAGGACAAGGCAGGCCTGGGCAGTACCAGTACTTCAGCCAGAGGCTTACTGTGCTGTCCACCTGCCCTCCATGCCTTGAGCTCAGGACCTCAGGAGCTCAGTGTGGTGTGCAGTCAGCCTGGCTTCCAAGAGGGCTTTGGAACACAGTTTGAGCTGGGAAGCAGCCTCTTCCCGAAGTGGGACTGCCTAGACAGGCTTTTGTGTTTTAGAATGGAGCCCCAACCTGTGTACTCTGCAGTGAGCCCCTGCATCCTCTAGGGCCTGACCCAGGAGTCCTCCTCGGTCTACAGTGAGTAATGGTGGTGACATCACCTGACAAGTCTAAGTCTGAGCGCTTCTATTGCAGCATCTGGGGAGTCTGGGTCGGCGATCAGCAGTTGTAGCTTCCCTAGGTTGCTGCCTTACATGAGGAGAGGAAGGGGAGCAACGGAAGGCCAGGGCAAAGCCCAGGGTCATTTCCTGAGGGTACTGCAGGGGACAGTAGGAAGCTACCCTGAGGAAAGAGCAGGGAGACATACAGTCATACCCAACCTGGGGGAGGGTCCTGTTCTGTGGGGTGGGTTTCTGTCACACCCTTCCGAGAGTCAATGATTGATTGGGTTTTGGGCTTGTGGATAAGGGGTTTCCTTTTGCAAGCTGTAAAAGAATGTTCCAGAGCAGGTTGTTTGGCAGATGTTACATACAAAAGAGAAATTCCAGGATGAGGGTAACTGCTATGGACACAAGTTAGAGGCCATCAACTCTAAACTGCAAAGCTGTCCAGAGACCGGAGGGTGCTCATCGCCACAGAGCCTACATTTTCCACCCTCTGAAAGGGCTGGGGCCTTTTCCTCTGTTGAGGGGTCATGTCTCATCCTACACTGTAAGCACATATTTAAAATAGGAGTTTTGCCACAATCTGGATATTAAAAACATGAACACTGGAATTCTAAATATCTCCCAACAATTAACGCCACCATTCAGCCTCACACTGTGGTGAGCTCCAGTGTCTCTGTGCTTATTGTCTTGCTTTTGTGTTGAATGATACTTTGTGTTGTATCCTGTATATTTTATTATAAACGCCTTTAAATTTTCAGAGGTCCTCAGTCTTTGCTCATAAGAGGCTCACTACATGGGAGTGTGCATTGCTGGCCCTAGACCATAATGGTAGTGGATGTGATGATTTTAAAAAGTGCTTTTTGAGGACTATCTTGATAATGTACAGTAGATTCTCAGCTGTGAAACATCTGGTTACCCATGGTGGAGATGCAGGTTGAGGGGCTCTGGCTGTTCTCCAGGTGAGCAGACTTCTAGCACTCATATAAAGGGATCCAGTTCCATCATTTGCCTATGGTGACCAGGAAAGATAAGCAGAAGTACAAAATGCAAAAGTCATTAGCAACAAACAAATTATTCCCGCCTATCTCTTCCTTATTTGAATGTCTCAGAACCATATCGGGAAAGTGTGATATAAATAAGTGCACACCGCCCTCCTACTCTACTGCCTTCATGATTAGAAAGCTGCTCCTCCAAGGGCTCCTGCTCTAGCTGAAGAAGACCAGAGAAGGTAAACAGTTGAAAGTGTCTGACCATCTACACATCTTTAAGCAAGTGACTGAGTTTCCTCGTCCCAGCATGGAAATGCATCATCTCATCATCCATTTTCTTATAGTAGTGACACAGTTTCTTACTGGGGTCCTCACAAACGGCTTCATCGTGGTGGTGAATGTGGTGGACTTCATCAAGCACAGACAGATGGCTCCTTTGGACCTGCTCCTTTCCTGCCTGGCGACTTCACGGATTACTCTGCAGATGCTCATCATCCTCTCACATCTGGTTCTTCTCTCCTTCGTGAAAATGTCAGTGCTTACAAAGCTTAACACAGTTCTTATGTTTGTGAGTGACTGGGGTCTTTGGTTGGCCACATGGCTTGGTGTTTTCTACTGTGCCAGGATCACCACCATCTCACATCCTATGTTCTTCTGGCTGAAGAGGAGGATTTCCAAGTTGGTGCCATGCCTGATCCTGGGGTCCACACTGTATTCATTCATCATGAGTGGTTTCCATGAAAAACAATCAGTGAATCTTATCCAAAATGTTATGCTTAATTTTTTCTCCAAAAATGCAACTCACCTCATGGGAATAGAGAGTGCAGCCACTTCTGTTTTGATTTTTCATTTTATGGTGCCTTTACTCGTCTTCCTCATTGCTCTTCTGGTCTTGATTGTCACTCTGGGGAGACACACCTGGCGGATGAGAGCCATGTCTCCAGGTACCCGTGATCCCCGCAGCAGAGCTCCCCTCAGGGCCCTGCTGTCCATCCTGTCCTTCCTGATCCTCTACTTCTCCCATTATATGATGTCCATTTTGTTCATGTTTCAAACGTTGCAGTTTGGAAGCTTCCTCTTTGAGTTCTGCTCCTTGACAGTTGCCATCTACCCATCTATTCACTCTGTCATCTTAATTTTAGGAAATGCTAAGCTGAAACAAAGTGCAAAGAGGTTCTTGCTCTGTGGTCAGTGAGAAGGATTTGGGTCAGTTGAATGTGCTTGGATGGCCATGGATCTGTCTCCCCTCATTCACCCAATAAACACTCTGTGCATCATCATAGCCCAGCCAGCCTGAAGCATCTTGCTCTAGGGGTTTTCTACCTTCAAAATGGTGACTTTGATTTCTAAAATACAATCAGTGTCTGTGGACTGCATCTATGTCAGAGCTCTGTTTGTGATATGGAGCTGCCACGTTGCATGACAAACAACAGTACAGGGATCCTTGTGTATGATGTCTTCCAAGTTGACTGAAAACCGTCGTTTTCTCCAAGTTGAAGGTATGGAAGGAGGAGAAAAGCACGTGTTTTTATTTGTGATCTCTGAAACACACAGCAGGCTCTAGTGCCCCTAGTGGTAAGATGTCTAGTTTTCTAAGGTTTATCTGACCCAAATGGGCTGACTGTTCATCCCTTCTCTATCTGCATGTGACTTCTGTCCTCTTTGATGGACTCACAAACAATGAAGCCTTTCTTGGACTTGAAGGAAGCTGAGCACAGGGAGTCTTTCTCAGTTGCTGTGAGCGTATTCCCTGTGTCAGTCTTTTAAATAACCTAGATCGTAAGATGACACTGCCTAGCAAGTGTAAAAAGGCTGCCACGTGGAGGGAAAGGAGGCAGAGGAGAGAGAGAGGAGTTGAGATGTGAAAGCTCCTTTTCTATCCCCTCTAATTGTGCATCTTGGACAGACAGTAGCTTGCAAAGATTTCTTTCTGCATTTGCGCACTGGACTGCCTGACCTTCCTATGGTGCTTGGCAATTTGGCCCTCATATCACGTGGTTTCTCTTCCCAGTGAGGCAGTACCAGTAGGTGGGAGGGCTAGAGATGTCTCCATGTGCTTGATCTCAGACATGTGTTTTCTGTTGGGTCCACAGGTGATTTTGGCAACTAAGAATTTCATGCATGTTTCCAAAGCAAATTCAAAGACACTTTGATTTCATGCAAGTTAATGAAATAAAAGATGTACTTATTTTAGTTACAAATTTTGGTTCATGTGTGATGATATAAACTGTGAAATCACCAGTAGTAAGGATTCGCAATCTGCTCTTCAAATCCCAGCCTAACAGAGGAGTGCTTCATAAGATGTGGAGGTGCGTGTGTCTTCCCGGCTGTGGGAATCAGAGTGCTCTCCAGGGATTGGATCTGATTCCCCAGGGAACAGTGGAGCAGCCCCCTGTACATGGCTTCCAGTGCCTCTCTCTGGTGCCTGCAGGGACTGTGCTTAGTGGTTCAGAGAGGAGCCCCAGCCTGAGCACTGTCCTCTTGACCCTGAGTCCCTCAGAGCCAACCCAGGGGTTTTGCACAGTCTGCAGTGACTAAAGGTGGTGACATCAACGGAGAAGTCTAAGTCTTTGTGCACTTCTGTTGTAGCATCTAGGGAGTCTAGGGTCAGCAGTCAGCAATTGCACCCTCCCTGGACTGGTCTCTTCTCTGACATAGAGAGAGGAAGAGGCATGAGGGAAGGCCAGTGCAAAACAAAGGTATTTTTCTGATGGGTATTGCAGGAAGAGTAGGAAGCCACTCCGAGAAGGAGTCTGGACCTCAGACCTGCAACAATGCCAAATCTGGGACAGAGGTCCTGTTTATGAGGTCATGTCCTGTCTCCACCCTTCTGAGTGTAGACAATTGATTGATTGGGTTTGGGGTTTATGGTGAGGGATTCTGGCTTGTGGGCTGTAGGGGAATTTTCCAGAGCAGACTGTTGTGTAGAGCTTACCGATAGAAAGCAAATTTTAGGGTGAGGGTACGGTGGCTTACACAGATACAAGTGTGACACGCCATTAGCACTAAACCACAAAGTTGTTGGGAAATTGTTTGGTGCTCATTGCCACATAGAGCCTGCCTTTTCAACTCTAAAAAGGGCCAGAGACTTTTACCCTCATGAGGGGACACTTGTCACTCTGAACTCTACATATTTTTAAAAATATGAATAATGGAACAAACTGAATATTTTAAAAAGTAAGCACGGTAATTCTAAATGTCTCCCAGCAATAACTGCCGTCATCCAGCCTCCCAATGAGGTGAACTCCAGTGTCTCTGGGTGCCTGTAATCTTATTGTCTTGCTTTTATATTGAGAGATACTTTGTGTTCTATCTTGTATATTTTATTACATAATGACTTCAATTTGAGGAGGCCCGCATTTGCTCAGATTATGAACATTAGAGATTCATTACATGGAAATCTTACAATGCTAGTTGTTGGATTTCGTGGCAGTCGAAGTGATTTTTTAAAGTGTTTTTTGAGGAATACCATGATGATGTGAAGTAGAATCCCAGCTGTGGCACATCTGGTTACCCATGGTGGAGATGCAGGTTGAGGGGCTCTGGCTGGCTCTCAGCTGAGCAGACTTCCAGCAGTCACCTGAAGGATCCAATTCCACCATTTGCCTATGGTGATCAGGAAAGACAAGTAGAAGTAGAAAATGCAAAAGTCATTAGCAAGAAGCAAATTATTGCCTGACTATCTCTTCCTTATTTGAATGTCTCAGAACTAAATTGAGAAAGCAGTGGTATAACAAATGCACGGCGCCCTCACACTCCATCGCCTTCATTATAGAATCTTGCTCTCCAAGGGATCTTGCTGTCCCAAAGAAGAGGAGAGAGGGTAAAAGATTAAAACTGTCTGAACATCTATATAATCTTAAGGAAGTGACTGATTTTTCTCCTCCCAATATGCTAACCCATCAGTTTATTATCCATATTTTCATAGCAGTGACACAGTTTCTTACTGGGATCCTTACAAATGGCTTCATCGTGGTGGTGAACGTAGTGGACCTCATCAAGCAGAGACAAATGGCTCCTAAGGATCTGCTCCTTTTCTGCCTGGCGACTTCACAGGTTATTCTGCACATGCTCATCTTCTTGGCACATCTGGTTCTTCTCTCCTTCATGGAAGAGTTGGTACTTGCTACACTTAATATAATTTTTATGTTTGTATTTTGGAGATTTGATTGGCTACATGGCTTGATGTTTTCTACTGAGCCAAGATCGCCACCATCCCTTACCACTGTTCTTCTGGCTGAGGATGAGGATTTCCAAGTTGGTGCCCTGGATGATCCTGGGCTCTACACTGTACGCATCCATCAGTGCTGGCATCTATGAAAATTATTCATGGACTATGAACCAAAAAAAATTGGACAACTTTTTCACTAGAATTGTGACTCAAACTAAAGGAATAGATGCTCTGCCCCTTTCTGTTTTTATTTTTATCTTACTATGCTATTAATTGTCTTCCTCATCGCTGTTCTGCTCTTGATTTTCTCTCTGGAGAGATAAGCCCAGCACATGAGTACCATGGCTACAAGAACAAGGGACCTCCATAGGGGCACCCCTATGAGGGCTCTACTGTCCATCCTGTCCTTCCTAATCCTGTACTTCTTCCACTACATGATGGACATTTTGATTTTTTTTCAATTCTTTCAGTTTAGAAGTTTTTCCTTTGAGTTGTGAACCATGGTGGCTGGCACCTACCCATCTATACACTCTGTCATCTTAATTTTCGCAAATCCTAAACTGAAACAAGATGCAAGGAAGTTCCTGCTCTGTGGTCAGTGTGGTCAGTGAGAAGGATTTGAATCACTTGAAAGGACCCAGGAGTCAATGGCTTCCTGTATCTGTCTGTACTCACCCACCCTATAAACATTATGTTCACAAATATACAGTTCGTCATCATAGCCCATCCATCCCGCAGCAAGGATACAGAGTTTTACCTTCTCCAAAGGTGACATTGATCTGTAATGCTCAACAAACGTCTCTAGAGTATATCTATGTCAGAGTTCCAGTTGTGACATGCCACTGCCATCTTGCAAGATACATAGGACAGGAAGCTTTGCCTACAGTGTCCTCCAATTTAATTAAAAACCACAGTTTCCTCAAAGTTGAAAGGTTTGAGGAGAAATAAAAGTACTTTTTTGAGCTTTGATCTCCAAAAGACACAGAATGATACAGCGCCTCTGTCTGTAGGGTGTCTAGTTTCCAATGTTTTATCTGAATCACATGGGCTGATTGTTCATCCCTGGTCTACCTGCATGTCATCTGTGTCCCGTTTAAAGGACTCACAGATAATCAAGCTCTTCTTAGAATGGACGGGAAGCTGAGGACAGGGATTCCTTCTCAGTTCCTGTGAGTGCATTCACTCTGTCTGCCTTGCAGAGAACACAGTTGTGTTGGTAACACTGTCTAGAAACTGATACAAAGACAGAGGTGGAGGAAAAGGAGGAGGAGGAGGTGGAGGAGAAGCAGAAGGAGAAGGAAATGGAGGAAGAGAAGAGAGACAAGCTGAGATTTGATGGCTCCTTTTCCATCTCCCCTAATCGTGCACCTTGGATAGACAGTGGCTTTGCAAGTTGTGTCATTACTCTCCTGGTCACTTAACTTCACGTCCAATGGCTGGAGGCAATCTGGCCCTCTTACCATGTGTCTTGTCTTCCCAGAGAGTAAACACCTGCAAATGAAAGAGGCTAAGATGTCCCCAGCTCTTTGATCTCAGAGATGAGTTTCCTGTAGGCTTGCTGAGGACTTCATATATGTTTCCAAAGCAAATTCAAAGCCCCTCAGGCAAGTCAATGAAATCACAGAAGATTGTAAGTTTAGCTGTTCATTTGAGTTGCTGTGTGATGATGTAAACTGTGTTAGATTTAAACTTGCCAGTCACCAGTAGTGAGGATTGAAATTCTGATATACGAATCACAGATATGGAAGTCAGAAGGGGCAATTCAGCAGATCTGTTCTTGCGTGTGTCTGCCTGGCTGTGGGAGTCAGAGTGGCCTCTCTCTTCCCAGGGTGTGGAGCTGATTCCTGAGGAACAAAGGAGCGGCCTGCATTTCCTGTCCCTGGATCACCTGCAATAGCCCCTGTGAGAAGAGCACCGTGTCCTGGAGGGGAACCCCTTTCCTGCTGGAAAACAGTGAGGGCACACTCTGGTTTTCATATGTGCAGCTCAGGCAACACTTGCTGTGGGCACGTGTGTATCCTGCA